ATCCTCTATACAACCTTTAAGACACGTTTTCTTCTTCCTGTTGCTTTTTGAGAAATGTCCTTTTCTGTTTTTATATGACCCACTTTTATTCTCTGGCTTTTAACACCGCGTGAGTTGTGTGGTCCTCTGTGTCTTTTATTTATTTTTATGTGTTTTTATTGGTTTTACTGTATTTATTTAGTATTTTATTTATTGGTTTATTTATTTCTATTCTATGATTTTGTTTTTATTTTTATTTTTACTGGTTTTATTTTATTTTACTGGTTTTATTATTTTAAGACTAGTATTATTTTAGTAGTTTATTTTATCATCTTATTGTTGTTATTTTTATGTATTTGTGCAGCACTTTGGAAACAGTTTGTTTGTGAAATGTGCTATAGACATAAAAGTGGATTGGATTGGATATGTGAGTGATTTTATTTTTATTTTTTTCTGTTGGGTAAACTTAAAATACAAATGAAAAAAAAAAAATCTATCAAAACTGTCTTGACCTAAATATCAGGTTTGTGTTGTGTCTCCTGACCTGTTCCTGGATCCTGGTGAACACCTGTGTCCCTCTGTTTCCCACCAGACTCTGCTGGATCTCCTTCAGAAGAACTTTCTCCACTGGGATCTCTCTGCTCTCCACAAAGAACTTCTGATAGATCTCTCCCACGATCTGCGGCACTTCACTCTGCAGAAGAAGAACGTGTCAATGCAACGACAGGATCGGGAAGGTGACTGTCAGAATAATTTTATTATCCCATATTTGCTAAATACTTGTGTGATATTCTGCCTATGAGTTAACCATTTATGTACTACATTCTTTGATTTATAATGTACCAATCACTTGTCACTTGTTGAATAACCTCTGTGTGTTTGACAACTGTGTGCAGTGTCTGTCGCTCTAGTGAACCTCGAGATGATTCCTCACATGAAGCCAACTCCACTGTCACACATGCAAGAGTTATGATGGTGTCTGACCTAAGGCACCTCCTGATTGTTAATCATGTTTTATGTGTTTGTACTATGCTAGCTGCATCAGTTTCTTATTATGTCTTTGCTGGTTTCCCTTCCCCTTGAGAATTATCATTCTGTAACTGTGAAATAAAAGGAGGAGAAGCATCAGAACGTGTGTATCTCTTGTCTTGGTTTAGCTAACAGTGACTTTTAAAACATATTCCCCTACAGATTACAGATTACACACACCAAAATGTAGTTTGTAACATAATCCATTAAATTACTTAAAGTGAGTAATGTAATCTGATTACTTTGGATTACTTGATTTGCTGTAGAGAAACAAAGACGAGGAAATCTTCACATAAGAAGTTTTGTCTGATAAAAGAAAATAAAAAGTCCAAACTTTACTGAACCAAATTAAAAATATTATTGATAGAAGAAGAAGAAACGCGTCCACACAGCAGGATTTAGTCCTGTTAAATCCTGGTTTTAGTCCTGGTTTAGATCTGGTTTAGACCTGGTTTAGTCCTGGTTTAGACCTGGTTTAGATCTAGTTTAGACCTGGTTTTAGTCCTGGTTTAGACCTGGTTTAGACCTGGTTTAGACCTGGTTTAGATCTAGTTTAGATCTAGTTTAGACCTGGTTTAGACCTGATTTAGATCTAGTTTAGACCTGGTTTTAGTCCTGGTTTAGTCCTGGTTTAGACCTGGTTTAGATCTAGTTTAGACCTGGTTTAGATCTAGTTTAGACCTGGTTTTAGTCCTGGTTTAGTGCTGGTTTAGACCTGGTTTAGATCTAGTTTAGACCTGGTTTTAGTCCTGGTTTAGATCTAGTTTAGACCTGGTTTAGACCTGGTTTAGACCTGTTTAGATCTTAGAGTTTAGACCTGGTTTTAGTTTAGACCTGGGTTTTTCCTGGTTTAGACCTGGTTTAGATCTAGTTTAGACCTGGTTTAGACCTGGTTTAGACCTGGTTTTAGTCCTGGTTTTAGACCTGGTTTAGATCTAGTTTAGACCTGGTTTAGTCCTGGTTTAGATCTAGTTTAGACCTGGTTTAGACCTGGTTTAGACCTGGTTTAGATCTAGTTTAGACCTGGTTTTAGTCCTGGTTTAGACCTGGTTTAGACCTGGTTTAGATCTAGTTTAGACCTGGTTTTAGTCCTGGTTTAGATCTAGTTTAGACCTGGTTTTAGTCCTGGTTTAGACCTGGTTTAGACCTGGTTTAGACCTGGTTTAGACCTGGTTTTAGACCTGGTTTAGTTTAGACCTGGTTTAGTTTAGACCTGGTTTTAGTCCTGGTTTAGATCTAGTTTAGACCTGGTTTAGATCTAGTTTAGACCTGGTTTTAGTCTGGTTTAGTCCTGGTTTAGAGTTTAGACCTGGTTTTAGTTTAGACCTGGTTTAGATCTAGTTTAGACCTGGTTTTAATTCTGGTTTAGTCCTGGTTTAGATCTAGAATAGACCTGGGTTCAGTCCTGGTTCAATCCTGAATTAGTCCTGGTTTAGACTTGGTAAAAAAAAAAAAAAGAAAAGAAAAAAAGAAGAAATTTAGCCCAAAATGTGAAAACAGTAAAATCCCTCTGTGTAATCCACTTATTTCAACAAAGTAACTGTAATCCAACTCCCACTCAGTGAAACAGTAACTGTAACTGAATACAGTTACTCATCATTTGTACTCTGATTACTCCGGTACATGTCATAGGTGCTTTGATGATGACCTTGTTTGCTGTTTTGAGCGTCTCTACGAGCTCCCAGAAGCTGATGAGTGCTCTCTTATCCACGCGCTCCATATAAACTCTGAAGTGCTCCCTGTAGCCCGCGTTACACAGGATGTCCTCCAACTGCAGGATCTGAACAGAGACACGGACAACACTGGAGTCAGAGAAAACACGGATGAAAAAGGACATATTATTCTGGATTGGGACAGGGCAAAACGTAGGCAAGGCAAGTTTATTTGTACAGCACAATTCGTACACAAAGTAATTCAAAGTGCTTTACAGAATAAGAAATACATTAAAATCATAATAAAAACAAATCAAAACATAAATAATCATGAAGATTAAAATTTTAAAAGAGAGACATAAATTGGAGAGAAGAGTGCGGAATGAAAACCTTTCAGTTATTTGCACAGTTAAACAGAAATGTTTTGAGTCTGGATTTAAACAGCGTCACAGAAGAGTCTGTCTCACATGTTCAGACTGTTCCAGGTTTTAGCTGCATGAACCTGAAACTCTGACTCCCCTTGTTTAGTCGTGACTCTGGGCACCAGCAGGAGTTGGTCCCTGAGCTCCTCAGAGTGTGAGATGTTCATATGACACTAACATGTCACAGATGGACTTTGGTGCTCGGACATGGAGACACTTGTACAAACAGAGCTGCTTTAAAGTCTCTGAGCCACAGGAGCCAGAGCAGAGACCTGAGACCAGGACTTATGTGCTCGTACTTCCTAGTTCGAGTCAGGACCCGAGCTGCAGCGTTCTGGATGTTCTGGATGTTCTGGATGTTCTGGATGTTCTGGATGTTCTGGATGTTCTGGATGTTCTAGATGTTCTGGATGTTCTAGATGTTCTAGATGTTCTAGATGTTCTGGATGTTCTAGATGTTCTAGATGTTCTAGATGTTGTGGATGTTCTGGATGTTGTGGATGTTCTGGATGTTCTGGATGTTCTGGATGTTGTGGATGTTGTGGATGTTGTGGATGTTGTGGATGTTGTGGATGTTGTGGATGTTGTGGATGTTCTGGATGTTCTGGATGTTCTGGATGTTCTGGATGTTCTAGATGTTCTGGATGTTGTGGATGTTCTGGATGTTGTGAATGTTCTGGATGTTCTGGATGTTCTAGATGTTCTAGATGTTCTGGATGTTGTGGATGTTCTGGATGTTGTGAATGTTCTGGATGTTCTGGAAGTTCTGGATGTTCTGGAAGTTCTGGATGTTCTGGATGTTCTGGATGTTGTGGATGTTCTGGATGTTCTAGATGTTCTAGATGTTCTAGATGTTCTGGATGTTCTAGATGTTCTAGATGTTCTAGATGTTCTGGATGTTGTGGATGTTGTGGATGTTCTGGATGTTCTGGATGTTGTGGATGTTGTGGATGTTGTGGATGTTCTGGATGTTCTGGATGTTGTGATGTGTTCTGGAGATGTTCTGATGTTCTGGATGTTCTGGATGTTGTGGATGTTCTGGATGTTTGTGATGTTCTGGATGTTCTGGATGTTCTAGATGTTTCTAGATGTTCTGGATGTTGTGGATGTTCTGTATGTTCTGTATGTTCTGGATGTTCTGGATGTTCTGGATGTTCTGGATGTTCTGGATGTTCTGGATGTTCTGGTTGTTCTGGATGTTCTGCAGCGTCTCACAGCTCGTTTGGAGAGACCAGTGAGCAGAACATTACAGTATCTAACCTACTGGAGACAAACGCATGGATAAGTTTCTCCAAGTCTGATTTAGACAGTAAACCTTTGATTTTCGCTATGTTTTTTAGATGGTAAAAGGCTGCAGATGTTATTGATTTGATGTGGCTGTTAAAGTTCAAGTCTGAGTCCATTATTACCCCGAGATTTCGTACCATGATAATAAAGATGATATTTATGATGTTACACTTTTAGGCCTGTTGTTTTACACTGTTTAGTCCAGATAAAGATATTTTTATTGTCGACTAGTAGAGGTGTAACAATACTGGCGTGCGATATCGTCGTGGTCTTGTCATGGCATTAAACTGTGTCTTTAGGAAAAAATAAGAATTTTCAGTCTGCTCCTGTGGCACATTAGCTTGATTTATCAGCTGTAGAAACAATCTGATCTCACAGAGGGAGAATTTGTTCGCGCTACGATAGGCGGTACTTTTTTATTTTACCAATCGCTGCTATTTGGTCGTGACACACGTGTCCAGTCAAGTGTTAACGGAGGAAACAGGGTCAGATTTTTGACATTCAAATGTCTCTTATTCAGAAACTAGAGGGACTATTGAAATAAGTAAAGTATCAGAATGTAGGAAAGAGTTACACTCCAACAGGGTCAAGTTAAACCTGTGATATTCTTTCAAGTTGTTGACAAAAAATGTAAAAAATCGTTTAATGTGATGATACAGTATCAATATCATGGGCTGCTGTATCGATGTATCACCAAGAGGATTTTTACGTGTGTTTTACTAAATTATTTTGTTACAGTGCTACTGTTTTGTTGCTTGTGGAGTGAAAGGAAACTCGTTTATGCGACACATTTGACATTTTGACTGTTTTGAGGATTAAAATGTTTGTGTTTCATATGAACTTTACACAAGAAGAAGTGGTTTAACAAAGACTTTTAGTATCACAGCCATGATTTAGCCTTTATTTTTTATTGAACTGTATCGAATCGATTTGAAATATATATCGAATCGAAAGTGCACTCTATCGAGATATGTATCGTATCGTGGCCTGTGTATCGAGGTATGTATCGTATCGTGGCCTGTGTATCGAGATATGTATCGTATCGTGGCCTGTGTATCGAGATATGTATCGTATCGTGGCCTGTGTATCGAGGTATGTATCGTATCGTGGCCTGTGTATCGAGATATGTATCGTATCGTGGCCTGTGTATCGAGGTATGTATCGTATCGTGGCCTGTGTATCGAGATATGTATCGTATCGTGGCCTGTGTATCGAGGTATGTATCGTATCGTGGCCTGTGTATCGAGGTATGTATCGTATCGTGGCCTGTGTATCGAGGTATGTATCGTATCGTGGCCTGTGTATCGAGGTATGTATCGTATCGTGGCCTGTGTATCGAGGTATCGTATCGTATCGTGGCCTGTGTATCGAGGTATGTATCGTATCGTGGCCTGTGTATCGAGGTATGTATCGTATCGTGGCCTGTGTATCGAGGTATGTATCGTATCGGCACTTTCTTAATGATACCCAGCCCTACTCCCCACCATATTGCAATAAATATCGTACCGTGAGGTTCATACTGTGACGATATCGTATCGTGAGACTTGGATATCGTTACATCCCTACCGACTAGTCACTATTGGTCAATGAACCTCTGAAGCCGGAGTTGACACTGGATGAAAAGCCTGAAAAGGTTTGTACAAATATTATAAATACAACAGTTTTTATTGTTTTGATTTAGTTATAACTAGGGATGGGCATGATTAATCGATGAATTGATAAGTGATCATCAAGAATTTCATCGATTATGTTAATTTTAATCGACAAACTGAATGTATGTTGCTGTGTGTGTCGTGACCAAACAGGTGTGTACATGTGTCTCTGCATCAGAAGGAGCGAGACACAAACAGTGGGTCAGTCTGTAACGAACCGAAGCACAAATGTGGATTTAACGATGATTTGGACAAGAAATTCCACACTTTCCGTTGCGTTGGGACAAGTGTGAGTCCATGTGCACAGTGGATAAAGCAGCACATATGTTTCTGTGTCCAGTGGGAAAAAGTTTTTTCCAGGTGAGAGTCGCTCAATGTGGATGACGAGGCCCCGCCCCCTCCCCCGTACGCTGTCCTGGTTTTGACAAACACAAATCTGGTCACACTGACCTGTATTCACCTGAGTCATGTCTTTTAATCCTGACACAAGTTGAACCACATCAGCGACACAAGAGCTGGAGTTTTATCTTCTGTTAGTTTATGCAAATTAGTGATGTGGTTTTAAAGGTTGTATAGAGGATTTTTTAAGGAAAGTGAAATACAGCAACCGTCCTTTTTCCAAATGTTGTGCCTGCGTGACACCACCTTCCTCCTCCAGAGCCTCAGTAGAAACACCTCCTCCCGCCTCTTTACTCTAAAAATCACACTTGTTTACAGCCAGTGTGTGTTCAGAATTACTGTTGAAGTGACCCGTCTAGAAATATTTTAGCGACCGACGAAGGACTGAGACCGGGACCAGAACAACCCCTTCGTCTGCTTCAGTCGCACAACGTGAGGAAGCGACAGTTTGGAAAAGCCTCTAAGAACCGCTGCATAAACCACGTAATCCCCGCGCGCCGACGACTCAGTTACACTAGAAACGTAGGGAGTTTGATTGACAACCTAACAGCCAATAGAAAATGAGGCAGCCTCGTTTTCTATTGGCTGATGTTTCTCTGGCCTCAACACGTCCACAGTTGATGGATTTTCATTCTTTTTTTTTTTTTTGGTCATCATAATTCCAAGGCTGCTGCATCTCTGTAATAGTATTTTAAACTTTCAATGAGTGCGTATACATGCACATCAATAACCCGGTTATTCGCCATATCCCGGTTCTGTCAGTGTTCGTGTTACTGTGTTTACATGCGCACTGAGAAACCGGGACACTCATATCGGCGTGTACATGATCAAATGGAGTATCCCGGTTTCTTGACATAATCTTACAAATGCGCAGGCGCAAAAATTAACTTAAATCAATTTCATAAACCAGGAAAAATACAAACCGTGAGCTCCTTTAGCATAAGAAGCTAAGGAGCTACGAGATCTCCCACAATCCACTGTGCAGATTCTTCATTAAAATCTTCTGCATAAATAAACTCAACTTTACAACATATAAACCATAAACACTATAGACACATCAGCCCGTTTGATCAGATAATTCAGCTCTGATCACATTTGTTTACGTTTTACAGAAACGAAACTTAAGACCGTTTGGCTAATTAGCATAAACTGTTAGCGGCGATAAAAACAACTCGCTGCTTGTGCCGCTGATGCGATCAGTTTCTTTTGGACTAAATGACACGACTCTGTGGATTATGTGTGTTATTTCTGTGACAGAAGAGGCGCTAATGATGGTAAATGTGTTCCGTGCGTATAGAGTATAGGAGATAGTTCATGTTTTAGCTTTTCAGCGTCACATGAGTGCAGGTCGTACGTGTGCAGGTCGTACGTGTGCAGGGTTTAGCGCAGCTCTTTATTTTACAGTCATTTCACTCGTTTGGTCACTTTATTTATGTTTGGTATGTTGGTCATTTATTTATTTATGTCACTACTGTTGTGTTGAGAGGCTGGAAAGTGTCTTTTTGGACGCATGCGACTCAACTTTATGTTGCAGTAACCGGGGATACTGCGTTTACATGACACAAGTATCCCGGTTACTATCGGAAATAACCAGCTACAGTAACCTCGGTTTCTAATAACCGGGACACTGCCATAACCGGGTTACTGCGTATACATGCACCATGAAGAAACTGGGATACTCAAAAAACCCGATCATAACCGGGTTATTGATGTGCATGTAAACACACTCAATGACAATTTGAAACAAAACAAAAAAATCCTCCATACAACCTTTAAGTTTTGTTTCTGTGAGATTTGAACAAAACTGAATTAAACACATTAATCTCAAACAGCTGATGTGGCTCTAGAGTCGTTACGGTTTATATGTCGTAAAGTTGAATTTATTTATGCAGATTAGTGCAGATAGTAATAATAATGATGATCATTTTAATATAAAAACATTAATGATTCATCGATAATAATAATTAAGAAAATTTCATCGAATGCCCATCCCTAGTTGTTCTAACTTCTGCTTCCACTCTTGGTGTTTTAGCTCTTTCGCTCGAGCCTTTGCAGAGCCTCCGCGGTCTGTGTTTTAAGTCGCTCCAGGTTTAACATTTACATTTACCGCAGCCTGTCTGCCTCCCCTCACAGCAGAGCGGAAAATCAATCGGCTCCTGTGCAGGTGCAATTAAATCACAATATTTAAAATCTCACGTCATCCCCCGTCTCTGTCACAATAAATAAACCGTGTCTTTTAGAACAGACTTGACTATTTTACTGATCACGTTTAAAGCTCGTTTTAGGTCTTGCGCCGAGTTACATTTCAGAACTTTTAACGCCGACTAGATCCTCCTTTTCAGCCTTTTCAGTCCAGGTTCCTCGGCTCCATCACCATCAGCATCATCCTTTAAATCACTTCTTAAGACTCATTTTTATCGGTTGACCTTCTTTTATCTGGTCTTAGCTTGCTCCTTATTTATTTTATTCACTTATTTAGTGTAATTTACTGCATCGTTTTTGTAAGCCTTCTATTATATCTGACCAGTGTAAAGTCATCGAAAGTATCAAAAATCTGATAATAATCGATAATAAAACTAGTACAGGAACTATGTAGACCTTGGGTGACGCCCTGCTCCACGGGCTCGGAGTTCTCTCCTTCTCTCTAGTCCAAGATTAGTCCTGGTTCAGTCCTGGTTTAGTCCTGGTTTAGACCTGGTTTAGACCTGGTTTACCTGGACCTGGTTTAGTCCTGGTTTAGTTCAGTCCTGGTTCAGTCCTGGTTCAGTCCTGGTTCAGTCCTGGTTCAGTCCTGGTTCAGTCCTGGTTCAGAGTCCTGGTTTTCAGACCTGGTTTCAGTCCTGGTTTAGCCTGGTTTAGACCTGGTTTAAGTCCTGGGTTTCAGTCCTGGTTCAGTCCTGGTTCAGTCCTGGTTCAGTCCTGGTTTAGTCCTGGTTCAGTCCTGGTTTCAGTCCTGGTTCAGTCCTGGTTTAGACCTGGTTTAGTCCTGGTTTACCTGGTTTAGTCCTGGTTTAGACCTGGTTTCAGTCCTGGTTCAGTCCTGGTTTAGACCTGGTTTCAGTCCTGGTTTAGTCCTGGTTTAGTCCTGGTTAGTCCAGTCCAGTCCTGGTTCCAGTCCTGGTTCAGTCCTGGTTCAGTCCTGGTTCAGTCCAGTCCAGGTTTAGTCCTGTCCCCAGTTTTAGTCCTGGTTTAGTCCTGGTTATTGATGACGTCACAGATCACGTACCCCCACTTAAAAAATCTCCACCCAGTCACCAGATCAGTGCAGTCCAGTCTCCAGTTTTTTCAGTCCAGTCCTCAGTCCAAGTTCCAGCCACAATCCAGTCAGTCCAGTCCAGCCCAGTCCAGTCCAGCCCAGTCCAGTCCAGTCCAGCCCAGTCCAGTCCAGTCCAGCTCAGTCCAGTCCAGTCCAGTCCAGTCCAGTCCAGTCCAGTCCAGTCCAGCCCAGTCCAGTCCAGTCCAGTCCAGCCCAGTCCAGTCCAGTCCAGTCCAGCCCAGTCCAGTCCAGTCCAGTCCAGTCCAGTCCAGCCAGTCCAGTCCAGTCCAGTCCAGCCCAGTCCAGCCCAGTCCAGTCCAGTCCAGTCCAGTCCAGTCCAGTCCAGCCCAGTCCAGTCCAGTCCAGTCCAGTCCAGTCCAGTCCAGCCAGTCCAGTCCAGTCCAGTCCAGTCCAGTCCAGTCCAGTCCAGTCCAGTCAGTCCAGTCCCAGTCCAGTCTCAGTCCAGCCTCAGTCCAGCAGCCAGTCCAGCCCTGTACCTTCTGGCTCTGGGGCTCCTCGCTCTCCTCTGCTCCTCCCTCTTCGCTGTTCTCGTAGTTGGGGCCTCCCAGCAGACGGATGCGTTTCTCACACTGTTTCTTGGCGACCGTCAGCTGGTTGATGTATCTCTTCATGTCTCGGGCTCGGAGCAGGTCGGCCTTCATCGCCGCCAGCTCTTTGCCTTTACGGTCTGAAAACGGCCAACGGCAGAGAAAACGGTGAACGTGAACGCCGGGCTGTTGACTTTTTGCGGACAAAAAAAAAAAATCCACGTGTCGTTCGTTCGTTCGCTTTTCAAAATGAAACTAAAAATGAGAAAACAAAAAAAAAACAACGACTATTTTCTTCGTTATTTGTCTCCAAAACCAAAATGAAAAAAACAGATAATGATTCGTTTTTTTTTAAGTTTTCGATTTTGGGTTTAAATGAAGAATGGAAAAAAATGGATAACAGACTAAACCAGGACTGAACCAGGACTGAAACCAGGACTAAACCAGGACTAAACCAGGACTAAACCAGGACTAAACCAGGACTAAAACCAGGACTAAACCAGGACTAAACCAGGACTGAACCAGGACTAAACCAGGACTAAACCAAGACTAAACCAGGACTAAACCAGGACTAACCCAGGACTAAACCAGGACTAAACCAGGACTAAACCAGGTCTGGGACCAGACCAGAACTAGATCAGGACTGACACCAGCACCAGACCGGCACCAGACCGGGACTGAGACCAGGACTGAGACCAAGACCAGACCGGGACTGAGACCGGCACCAGACCGGGACTGAGACCAAGACCAGACCGGGACTGAGACCGGCACCAGACCGGGACTGAGACCAGGATCAGACCGGTACTGAGACCGGCACCAGACCGGGACTAGACCGGGACAGAGACCATTACTGAGACCGGGACTGAGACCGTCACCAGACCGGGACTGAGACCGGGACTGAGACCGGGACCAGACCAAGACCAGACCAAGACCAGACCAGGACTGAAAACGGTTTAGTCCTGTTCCGTGTAGTCCTGGTTCAGTCCTGTTTCAGTCCTGGTTTAGTCCTGTTTCAGTCCTGTTTCAGTCCTGGTTCAGTCCTGGTTCAGTCCTGGTTCAGTCCTGGTTCAGTCCTGGTTTCAGTCCTGGTTCAGTCCTGGTTCAGTCCTGGTTCAGTCCTGGTTTAGTCCTGGTTCAGTCCTGGTTCAGTCCTGGTTCAGTCCTGGTTCAGTCCTGGTTTAGTCCTGGTTTCAGTCCTGGTTCAGTCCTGGTTCAGTCCTGGTTCAGTCCTGGTTCAGTCCTGGTTCAGTCCTGGTTCAGTCCTGGTTTCAGTCCTGGTTCAGTCCTGGTTCAGTCCTGGTTTAGTCCTGGTTCAGTCCTGGGTCCTGGTTCAGTCCTGGTTCAGTCCTGGTTCAGTCCTGGTTCAGTCCTGGTTTCAGTCCTGGTTCAGTCCTGGTTCAGTCCTGGTTCAGTCCTGGTTCAGTCCTGGTTTAGTCCTGGTTTAGTCCTGGTCCTGGTTCAGTCCTGGTTCAGTCCTGGTTCAGTCCTGGTTCAGTCCTGGTTTAGTCCTGGTTTAGCCCGGCATCGCAGTTTAAGTCAGGTAAACGGGAAACGGTCGTTATTCGTTTTTTTTTTTTTCCCCCAGTATTTGTTTAAACGCTAAAATCGAAAACTGTAAAAGCGAATCGTTATTTGTTGTTTTTTTTTTTTTCATTTTGGTTTTTGGAGACAAATAATGAAGAAAATTGTTGTTTTTTTCGTTTTCTTGTTTTTGGTTTTTTATATTGAAATACAAATGAACTAATGACACACAGATTAAAAAAGACAACACTTATTTTTTTTTTTAATCAACATTTTGACACAGACATCCTCCTGAGGTTTTGATTGTTTCTTCTAATAAAACACATTTAAAGGAGCACTGTATAATTCTTCTGCTAGACCTGCTCGTCTTCATCCACGGATTGCCCGGAATGTTCCACAGTACGGCTTTAAACTTGTCAATTTCTATGGAGACAAGCAGATGACGTCACTAGGTCAAGTTACAGGTCAAATATAAGGTTTCTACGGCATTTTAGCACGAAAATCAACAGTGTTTAAATAAATGTTAGATAGACGTGTGTTTAATGCCTCAAGGCGGAACATTCCAGAAAGTAAAATAAATCTATAAATGTATTAATCTACTGTATGTATGTATTTATGTGTGTATTTATTTTATGTATTTATTTATTTTATATTTATTTTTTATTTTTATTTATTTTTTATTATATTATTATATCATTCATTCATTCATTTATGCAAGTATGTATTTATATATGTATTTTTAAAACTTTTTTATGTTTATTATATTACATTATTCATTCATTCATTTTTTGTATTTATTTTTATATATTTATTTATTTTTATTGTTTATTATATTATTCATTGATTAATTTTTGTATTTATTTTATTTTATTTATTTTATTTAATAATTTTTAATATTATATCATTCATTCATTCATTTATTTATGTAAGCATTATTTACTTATGTATTTTTTAAAAACTTTTTTATGTTTATTGTATTACATTATTCATTCATTCATTTTTGTATTTATTAAGTATTTATTTATTATTTTATATTTTTTATTTTATTTTTTATTATATCATTCATTCATTCATGTATGTATTTATTTTTATATTATTAATTTATTATATTGTTTATTATATTATATTATACATTATTCATTGATAAATTTTTGTATTTATTTTATGAAAATATGTATTTATTTAATGTTAATTTTTATTTTTTATTATATCATTCATTTATGTATTTATTTATTTATGTGTATTTTTTATTAAATTAAATATTTTATTATATTATATCGTACACTGATTTATGTATTTATTTATGTATTTTTTATTATATTATATCATACATTGATTTATGTATTTATTATTTCATTTATTTTTTTATTATAGCATACATTGATTTATGTATTTATTTATGTATTTATTTGTTTTTATGTATTTATTTATTCATTATATTATATCATATCATTCATTCGTGTATTTATTTATGGACAACAACTTCCGAATTAAAAATACAAATGATCTCAGTGAGAATAATAAAGGCCCAATGTTTAGTTTTGTTGTTGTTATTGTTTTTTTTTCTCTCTCTTAGTTTCATCGACAATAACACCGGATACGTTTAAACATTTACACTTGTTTGTGTGGGCTTTTTGTGTACATATTCACAGTCGTGTTGTGCTCCAAGTGAAAACGCGCCACATAAAAACACGTTTTACTCCAAACTCTAAACAGAAACATTAAAACGCCGCTGAACCAAACTGCCCACACAGGCTCCTCATTACACAACACGAACAGCTCCTCATGTTACTCATCCACAAAACCATGAGGGCTCCTTATGTAACGCTCCCCCCGAACCCTCTGCACAGTTTAGATTTTCACATTTTAACCTTTCAGTCTCCTGTTTCTGAAATATCAACAGTTCTACCCGCGTGGCGAAGAAATGCAAAACCTAAAATCTCTCAGGAGCGTCCGTCGAATGCTTTTCTTCACGGAGATGTCACTGCTTCGTCTGAAATGTTCCACGGTGTCGCGTTAAACTCTCCCATCTTCACGGAGACCAAACTGGACAAAGTTACAGGTCAGATCGGCGGAGAGGCGACACCGTTCACACGTCACAACGCCTGTTTTTCCAGGTGTTTTTGAGCAATAAAACCACCTGGGACTGAAGAAACGTAATGTAAAGATGTTTAATGTCGTACTGTGAAACATTCCAAGCGGAGCGAAATGACTTCTCCATGGCAACGAGCAGGTGACAAGACCCCTCCCTATCCAGAAAAGTTACATAATAAACCTTTAAATCAATAAATAAAACACTTAAGAATCTGATCGTTCTAGAGAAAAATAACAAAAAGTTCTCAGACAAATTGGCAGACCCTCCACCTTAAAGGGCCCGTCTCATGCAAAATAACTCTTTTCACATTGTATCTTCTGCACATATAGGTTTCATTGTTGACAAAAGCGTGCGTTGCATGCTGGGAATTATTTTGGTCGGCGGCAAGAAACACAAATTCAACATGACGGACGGAGCGAGAAAGCACGTAAAGGGTATTGATCCCGGTTATTTATCCACTCTAACGGCAGAGGACCCAAGACCATTTGAGCAGAAATTGGTCATAAGCATCGACTGGTCGACCTGGACAAATCACAAACCTTTTCAAAACCTCCGACGAAAAGGTTGTAGCAAAAACCGTTAGTGGACTCGGAAATATAGCACAATTTGGGTTTTGGAACATCCATTACAAAATAGTTCTGAAATCTTACTGATTTCTTGGAGGCGTCACAGACCTATGTGGAACAGGAACTATGAAAGGCCGACTATAGGCGAGTTTCAGCTGACGTCATTGTTATTAAAAGCCCGCGTTGCTGCTGGGAAATATTTTGGTCGGAGGCAAGAAACACGGTAGCGTCAAACACAGTGCGTAACCTCGCGTATTTATCCCGATAATGGTAAATTCCTGCTGCATTATCGGACGCACAAATAGAAGCACGGAAGAAGGAAAATGTCTTTTTTCATATTCCGAGCTGAAAAGAACCGCTAACGGTGAATTAAACGACTTTCAAACATCCGCAGAGCAAACGTAGAAGATCCTAACAAACCGTGGACTCCAACAAGTTCAACAACACATCGAGACTCTTGGAGGTTTTCATCTTTTCTGCTGTGAATGGCCCAGGAGTTTCCACCAAGTCATTGTGGATATCGCCAAAGTGAATATTTGTCCAGGTAGTTGGCGATTCTGACCAGAAATTTGGTTTGGTTTCACCTTTTGTCGGGGTTGAAAAGGGTGATTTGTCGTCCGTCGATGCTTATGACCAATTTCTGGTCAAATGGTCTTGGGTCCTCTGCCGTTAGAGTGGATAAATAACCGGGATCAATACCCTTTACGTGCTTTCTCGCTCCGTCCGTCATGTTGAATTAGTGTTTCGCGCGCGCTTTTGTCAACAATGAAACTCGCCTATTGCTCCTCCCCCCGCCCGTCCTGAGAAAGCACAGGCTCCGCCCTCCAAACGTGACGTAGGCGACGAGTGAGCCGCCCTTCCTCCGCCATCTCAGGGAGGGAGGGGGACACAGACGTGCACCCTGATAACGGCAGGAATAAACTTTTATTCATCATGGAGATACAGCGCGTTCAGCCGCATGTGTTGGATCCGGAATCGGACGAGGACTTTGAGGAGCACGAAGCTCAAGCACCGCGTCCACATCAGCTGAACATTACTGATTGGAAGTATTAACAAACACTAGTAGATCAACTTATTATATCGAGTTCACTGGTGGAGGCGGTGAAACGCTTCTTAGGTGTATCTGCCGCGTCGTCGTCGTTGCAGCAGCTTTAGTTCGTTGTCACGTGGGAGGGTGGCAGAAATACGCTGCAATTTGTAAAAAAAAAATAAAAAGGCTGAATCAATCTAAAAGGCCCACACATCACTCTTAGAAGGTAGAAAGCTCTGAAAAGTTGATTTTGCATGAGACGGGCCCTTTAAACATTACACAGTGCAGCTTTAAATGCTCACGTATGACACCTCTGCTTTAAAAGACGCGCTGTGTACGTTTTTCCCTTTTGCTTTGCCGGGAATGAAGGCACACCCGAGCTCGCTTCCTGTTTGGAACATGTCCAGCAGGTTCGCTCTGCCCGTTTATAAATACAGTCAGTGCACGTGATGGAGAGAAGCACCACAGAGTTACACACAGAACACACTATGACGCCGTCGTTGTTCGAGTATTTGCACGTGAATCCTGCGGGAGTGTTGCGTTTGTGTTTCCTTGTGTTTGTACCTTTCTGTTTCTTGAGCTGAGGCAGGCTGCTGATGGTGGTGGCATGAATAATTTCTACCACGATCTGATACCTGGGGAGAGACGGAGCCTGTTACCACCGCATCAGTAAATACACAAGATACACAGAGAATGCACAGAACGCACACAGGAGCGACGCTGCGGTCCGGGTCTGTCTCTCTCTAATGGAGCAGGTGGAGGAGTTTTAAACGTGCTGAAAACGACTGCTCCTGTGGGTTCACCGTCTGCTTCTATGGAAACGGTTTAAAGTTATGTTGTTTATTCTGGTTTATTTGAGGGCAAACACGGGAGGAGGAGGAGCAGTGAAATGGATTCAGAGTTACAGGTTTTTACTCAACGCTCTTTTCTTACCGGTGGCACCGAAGCAAATCTGTATTAGCCTGACGTACGGCTGTTGGAAACTAAAACTGTTGATTGATGAATAGGCAGTGTTGGGGAGTAACAGATTACATTTACCAGAGTTACGTAATCAGAGTACAAATTATGAGTAACTATTCAGTTACAGTTACTGTTTAAATAAGTGGTAATTAGATTACAGTGACTTGGTTTCACATTTTGGACTATATCCCTTTTTTTTCCTTCTTTTTTTTTCCCTCTGTATTTCCACTCATTGCCAGACACTAAATCAGGTCTAAACTAGGACTAAAACCAGGTCTAAACCAGGACTAAACCAAGACTAAACTAGGACTAAACCAGGTCCAAACCAGGTCTCATCCAGGTCTAAAACCAGGTCCAAACCAGATCTAAAACCAGGTCTAAACTAGGTAAACCAGGTTCTAAAACAGGTCTAAAACCAGGTTTAAACCAGGTCTTAAACCAGGTTCTAAACTAGGACTAAATCAAGACTAAACCAGGACAAAACCAGGTCCAAACCAGGTCTAAACCAGGTCTAAAACCAGGTCTAAACTAGGACTAAACCAGGACTAAAACCAGGTCTAAACCAGGACTAAACCAGGACTAAACCAGGTCAAACCAGACTAAACCAGGTCCAAACCAGGTCTAAAACCAGGTCCAAACCAGATCTAAAACTAGGTCTAAACTAGGTCTAAACTTGGACTAAAACAAGACTAAACCAGGACTTAACCAGCAGGTCCAAAACCAGGTCTAAACCAGGTCTAAAAGCAGGTCTAAACCAGGTTTAAACCAGTTCTAAACTAGGTCTAAACTAGGACTAAACCAAGACTAAACCAAGACTAAACCAGGACAAAACCAGGTTCAAACCAGGTCTAAAATCAGGTCTAAACTAGGACTAAACCAGGACTAAACCAGGTCTAAACCAGATCTAAACCAGGACTAAACCAGGTCCAAACCAGGTCTAAACTATGTCTCAAACAGGATTTAACAGGACTAATCTATGCCATGAGGACCATGTCTCCTCGTCTTCTATCAATACTATTTTTAATTTGGTTCAGTAAAGTCTGGGCTTTTTATTTTCTTTTATCAGACAAAACATCTTATGTGAAGATTTCCTCGTCTTTGTTTCTCTACAGCAAATCAAGTAATCCAAAGTATTCAGATTACATTACTCACTTTAAGTAATTTAATGGATTCTGTTACAAACTACATTTTGGTGTGTGTAATCTGTAATCTGTAGGGGAATATGTTTTAAAAGTCACTTTCCCAACACTGAACAGGGATGTAACAACATGCGGACATGTTTTTTTAATTGATCTGAATTAAATAGTTCGTAATTAAAATATTCTCCTTCAAGTTTACATGGAAATAATAATTCCGAACTGAGGTTTATATGTTAAATCGTCTTTATTTAATTCCGCTCAATGTCTTGATGACCTGGTTTGGGCACCTCAAATACTCAGTCTATTCAGAAACATCAGGGGCCCGATCTTGCCCCCAATCTAAGCATTAGTACTGGCGCTAAGGAGGGGGCGTGTCCAGGTGGGGCTGTACTTAGCTGCTGTTCATTCGTTTTTCAATACAAAACCAAAAATAAGAAAACGAAAAAACAACAGTTTTCTTCATTATTTGTCTCCAAAACCAAAATGAAAAACAGATAACGATTCATTTTTTCAGTTTTTGATTTTGTGTTTAAATGAAGAATGCAAAAAACGGATAACGGCCGTTTCCCGTTTACGTGACTTCAGTGACTGCGATGCCGAACTTTTGCACCACGTACGGACTGAACCAGGACTGATCCAGGTCCGAGACCAGACCAGGACCAGAGCGGAACTGAGACCGAGACCAGTGGTCCGAGCGGGTCCGTGTCATCGTCTGTGCGCTGGTTCTGTGTGGGGAAAGTGAGATGTTCTGTGGACTCCAGGTCTGGACGTGCTGCTCCAGTCCTCCACACTCAAGAACCACGACTGGTTCTGAGGTGGAGCAAAACATCCAACTGACACTTTCACACCAACGAAAACAAACTGAACTAAGAGCTTTTGGTTCAAATGGACCAGGTCCAGGACCAGACCGGGACCAGAGCGAATCGTTATCCGTTTTTTCATTTTGGTTTTGGAGACAAATAGTGAAGAAAACTGTTGTTTTTTCGTTTTCTTATTTTTGGTTTTATATTGAAAAACGAATGAATGAATGATACACGGAGTGGGACGGTACAAGTGCATATATGGTGACGCCATCTGAACCAATCTGACCGCTGTGGTGTGCAGTCTTTGCCTCATTATCAGGCAGCAAAGAGGAGTGTGGGGAAAAGTTATAAATGTGACAATCAAACAGCTCCAGAGCCTCACGATGCAAATACACACCAGCAGAGGCGCAAAGAATATAGAATTTTGTGTGGGCCATGACAGAAGTGACTGGGTTTGTGTTCAACACTCCACAGACACATGCCCCCCTCTCATGCACGCGCACACACATCAACCTTTTATAGTTTCCTCTGCATTTGTTTAAGACCAGTGTCTGTCTCATGTGCTCCCGTCCCACAGCAGACCCGCTGCTTTCTCGCTCCCGTCTGTCCCACAGTCCAGTCCCACGGACTCACCCGAGGTACGAGTGTTCACCTCTGCTCCCGCTGACCGCTCACATTCTTCACACAAGTGGATGTCTCATGGATTATGGAATAAGTTTATTGTCATATAAATGTTTGTGATGTTACAGCTTTGCACACAGATATGATCCGTGCGCGCAGTGTTGGGGAGTAACAGATTACATGTACCGCCGTTACGTAATCAGAGTACAAATGATGAGTAACTGTATTCCGTTACAGTTACTGTTTCAATGAGTGGTAATTGGATTACAGTTACTTTGCTGAAATAAAGTGGATTACAAAGGCGGTATTTTCCTGTTTTCACATTTTTTGCTACATCCCATTTATTTATTTTTTTATTTCAGGCCGTAATTTCACTCATTGCCTGAAGCCTCAAACACTAAACCAGGACTAAACCAGGACTAAACCAGGTCTAAACAACATGACACCTAACAGTAGGTTGACATAATTTAAGGTGATCTCATATAAAAAATAATTTCTCTATCAATAATATTTTTTAATCTGGTGAAGGAAAAGCTGATCTTGTTATTGTCTTTTAACAGACAAAACCTCTTACGTTAAGATGTTCGTGGTCTTTGTTTCTCTACAGCAAACAGTTTCTTATTCATGGAGACTTGGGACTCAGACAATTTGAAGAAAACAAACAAGAAATTTTCAGGATGTGGTCGCTACATTCATGTCGTTTAAAAAAACATGACAATATCAAGTAATCCAAAGTATTCAGATTACATTACTCACTTTAAGTAAATTTAATGGATTATGTTACAAACTACATTTTGGGGTGTGTAATCTGTAATCTGTAGGGGATTACATTTTAAAAGTCACCTTCCCAACACTGTCTGTGCGCCTGCTGTCACAGATCCGAGCTCAGTGAATGTGCGCAGAGTCCAGCCGCGAGAAAATGTGAGTAAATGGACATGGCAGCATTAGGACACACTTTAAGGACATCGCTGTAAACGGCCTCATGTGAGTGAGCAGCTTTTGAACAGATCCAGATCAGACCAAACTCTAGAGCAGAGCTGAGTGGACACAGGGAGCAGGCGAGGGGCTGTGGGAGGGCATCTGGACGACTCCCGCACAGCACACCAACATGTTATGAATGTTAAGCATTTATCATCCGAATATATTTCCAAATAAAAAAAGCCTTGAACGTGTTACATATTGTTTTTCAGTGAACTCGTTTAATATTTACTTTTACAATTCTTACAGTTCACTGAACGCGTCACACCTGTCGTCTGCTCTGCTCCACCTGATATTCAGACACGACACACGTCCTGTTTAGAACTCCACGCCTCACACTTGTGCTGGAGCGAAGACTGAGGGCACGACCAGGCCCCAGGAGTCTAACCCACAGCCTCCTGGTGAGAGGGAGGAGAAGGGCTAACCACTCTGCCGCTGTGGCCACTTGCCTGAGTTGTTTGAGGAAGTTGACGTCGGCCGAGGTGGAGATGAGTTTGATGAAGTCCTCGTAGGAGGCGGCGTAGGTGTAGGCCTTCTTCTGCTGCTCGGCCTGCTGCTCCCTCTGCTCCAGCTGAGACAGGAGCATGCGGTTTATGGAGTCCGGGTCGCTCAGCACCTCCACGAGAGGCTTCAGCACTGCGCACAGGTAAAACAACAGGTAAACAACAGGTGAACGACAGGTGAACGACAGGCGAACAACAGCAAGAAACTTTTTTCATCGATAAAATACACATATCTAAATAAATATGAAGAGAAGGGCTGAAGAGCTCGACTCATTGTCTGGAGATCTCAGCATCGACTTAACACACTGTAAAAAAGCCTGGTCAGATTTTAAGATATAAACACTGAGTGCGTATACATGCACATCAATAACCCGGTTATGATCGGGTTTTTTGAGTGTCCCGGTTTCTTGATGGTGCATGTATACGCAGTAACCCGGTTTCAGTAACCCGTTTTAAAAGTAACACTCCCAACACTGATCACATCTTGACGTCATCTTACAAATGCTCAAGCGCAAAAATTTACTTAAATCAATTTAATAAACCAAGAAAAATACAAACCGTGAGCTCCTTTAGCGTCAGAAGCTCGGGAGGTTTAACCAGCGGTGAGGAGCTACAAGATATATACCCCACAATAAAACTTCTACATAAATAAACTCAACTTTACAACATATAAACCAGAACCACTGCGGAGCCACATCAGCCCGTTTGATCAGATCATTCAGCTTCGTTTACATTTTACAGAAACAAAACTTAAGACCGTTTGGCAAATTTGCATAAACTGTTAGCGGTGATAAGAACAGTTCACTCCTTGTGCTTTTGGACTGAAGGACACGAGTCAGTGGATTATGTGTGTTGTTTTTGTGACTGGGACAAAGTCATGGGCCAAATTAAATATTTATTGAGAAATTTCAACAACATCTGCATGTTTTCTCTTCTTTCAAGATATGTAATGTTAAACCTTTTCTTATTAAAATAAATGTTTAATAATAGTTTTGCTTAAAGGTTGTATGGAGGATTTTTTTTTTAGTTTCAAATTGTCAGTAAAA